TTGCCCCCCCCCCCCCCATCTCTCTCTCTTTCTGAGACTATTTTCACCACCAGTTAAATAAAATAATCAGGTCCGACCCAAAGACATGCGTGAAGTTTCAGTTAAAAGAAAAAGGCTGCATGAAAACAAGTGCAGTGGATGTTTTCAGGTTTCAAATTTTAATGGGGCTATATGATATAAAACAAGCAGCCTATTCACTCTACAAATGAATACCTTCATTCCATATATCGTGGAACAACGCCCAAATGCTGTAAATATATCAGTTAAATTGAACAATTGACCATTAAGTAATATTCATATAGTAGAGTAACCTGAAGTCTTGAAAAGTATGGAGTACAAGAACTAACATGTATAGATCGACTTTTATTTAAAGCAAGAGATGTGGCTTTTAGTTTAAAAGGTTAGAAGGTGGAAACATGTGAAGCATTGCAAAGCACAAATACTAAGCATGGAATTTATATGTTGATCAGACACAATGTTATACACACACTGGCTACATCCTAAAATGGTACTCATCAATTACAAAAACCATCAATTACAATATGCACATCAATGAATCAAACTATTATTGATTGAATGGTCAACTTCAACGAAAATATGCTTTCAGATAAAAATAAATCTGAACCTCCATTACCATCACTATTAGTGAAGTCTTTTACCATAGGTCAATAACTATAAAAACTTGGTGTGATCTACAACCGGGTTTCAACCTTATGTCAAGACTTCTTAATTGATAAGTTCTAGCCAAGGAAATTATGTACAAGAGAAGAGCTAGTCGTAAATCCTAAAATTCAGTAATAATTCAACTTGGAGGTAAAGATTTGAAACATAAAATTTATTTTAATAAGTTGTAGATCCGATAGAAAGGATGACGGCAAAAAAAAAATATTAAACTAAAATAAGTAAAGAAAGCAGAGAAGATAAAAGAAACGGCTAACCTGTTACCACCAAGTACCCAACTCAGCATTTTCGGCATTAAATATTTGATGAAAAATCTCCCGCCAACTCTACCAGGGTGTGGAATCCTGAACATGGTCAAAAACTAAAAACAAGGTATTCACCATTATGAAATGCCTTATCAAAAGAAGTATTTCACTATAATATATGCTACAGAATTTCTAGAATGAAGCATATTTTGATTGACTTGCAGTAGAAATCATACCGATAGTGGTCCAAGACCTACACCCAAATATGGCCTGTAAGTGGAAGCCATTATTGCAGCCATTCTTGCCATTCCATATATAGCTGCAACACGAAATCTTCTTTCTTTCTCATAACTAAAATGGAAAGAAACATCAGAGAGTAAATATAACTGCGAAGTTAATGGAGGTTTCATTTGTAACCAAATATCCTCTACAATTTGAAGGTAGAGAGAAAAACTAATTACCGCTTTAGAGAAGGCACAATATCAATAGGGGTCCCAGTCTCAGCACTTTGTACTGAAGCTTTCTCAAGTTCAAGAGCAAGTTGATAGCTATCCTATAACGACACCAGAATGTCAATAGGTAACAGTATTATGCAATACAAGAGAAAGATTCATATATTAAAGAACAGAATAAAGCACAGCGCATGAATAAAAGTTAATAACTCTATAGACCTTACCTCTATGGCCATGCAACCACCTTGACCCATGTTTGGCTGCATAGCATGAACAGAATCTCCAAGTAAAGTCACACGACCTTTTCCCCAACTTAGAATTGGTATCCGGTCATAAATATCACGACGAAGAATATCTTCCTCATTAGTAGCAACTATTAAATCAATGACATTATCACACCATCCCTCAAATATGCTAAGCAACCTTTCCTTTTTACCTGTCAATAGGTCCCCAAGTTAGATAGTAAAACTCAAAAAAGGAAAATGATATGATCCTAATAATAAGCCCTATGGCAGATGGGCACCTGTTCAAATTAATAATATTGCTGACAAGTTAACAGAAACACTGCACTGTTTTATGCTTCTCAAACTGACTATGCCATAAGAACCATTTAATGCCTGATTTTTCTTGATATTTGGACACCAAAAGAACTGAGCTATTAAGTTGACCAAATCTCTACAAGCCTAACTGCATGAATTTTGGGTCATGATCTTTGATTTGTAAATAGTAACTCTGATTTGTAACAACTAACAACATCCAGGAAAATATTAATAACTAAACGAAAACATCAAAGTCTTTGCCGTTTATCATCTAGGCTGGTCCATGAATCATTTCTTAGTTCGAACTCTCTTGAAGTCTTACCTTGTGAGTTAAATCTTATTGTTCCCCTGTTGAAAACCACATGGGTTTGGCTGCATCTGATCAATTATGCAGTTACTATTTACTCGTGCAGTCACATAAGAAGGTAATATGAAGTAAGTGATTGGTTCCAATTTCAGAGAAGTTGATTTAAGTAAATTCAGTCCCCCTCGACAAATATCATTTTTTTTAATGCTCAAGTCCAATTTGTCTATGTTCCTTCGCGAACTTTTCTAATTGACCCACCCCTTTAATCTAAAAACAACATTTCCTGAAGCTCGTTATGAACATCTCCTAAATCTCATCCTCATTAATCCTAACCAGTAAAACTGTGAAGCCTAAGGTTTCTAGTTATTTTCTCTCATAAATGTAATCTGTCCTCATTGCAACTAATAATTTTGCTACAGTGGCATTCCGTATACTCCAAATTCTACATGTTCCAACTTTTACAGCTTTACACTTTCCACTTTGAGAACCAACCCTTGTGTGGCTCAATAAATAATAGAAATTAAACTGCAAAACACAGTGAGCAGGGATATGCATGCTAAGCTCATCAGTGGCTACATATAAAGACTAATTAAAGAATGTGATCCTCTGTTTAAGCTTGCATAGATACACAACAGCTCCTCATCACTACAATCTTTTCACTAGTTATTACTTCATCAAATATATGTGTTATTTGCACCTCTGTGCCCCAAAGTTTCCCCCTTTTTAACTTTGATACCTGAAGTTCTAATTTGACAAATTAATAACCCACAGTTTCACTGCCATTTTACTTTGGTACCCTCTGTCAGCCTTACATTTATCTTCGGTTTAAATTGTATCATGTTCTTAAACACATTTAGGACGATAGTAACTCTGTCATGAGAAAATTCCCACTTTACCCCATTCATCGTCAAGTTATTTAGTTCTAAACCATCCTGAACAAAGCCATAATTTTGTACTTCACTTACTGCAACCTCAAATAATGAAATTTGTTAAGAAATTTGTTCCTTGTTAAATTTGTTTAGAATTTTGTTCCTTACTAAATCTGTTAAGAAATTTGTTCTGCATCATCCAAGCAATCAAGCTTCTCAGGTGAGGATGATTATAAAATTAATGAGAAAGAACATAAACGGAGCAGGGGGAAAAGCTATACCGGTCTCAGAGTGGTTTAGGAGAGAGAGAACGGGTATATCAGATGGGGGCTTCTGTCTTATTAGTGCATCTTCATTAATTTAATGTTAAATGGGTGACAAAGAGTACTGCATGTTAATGGCTGTGAAACTTTGGGATCTCAGAGTGTCAAAATTGAACCTTAGCTTATCAAAGTTTAGAGAAGGGGTAAACTTTGGGGGCACAAAAGCGCAAATAACCTAATATATATTTAAAAACGAATAACAGCTATGCTGAATGGAAGGATCGAATCAAAAAATTTAGCCTAGAAAACTGGACACCTTAATGGAAAATATCTACCATTTGGAACATCTGTGCCGCCAGGTGGTTCCTTATGAAATGCATACCACTGCATCTTTCCAGCACCCACATCAGAAGAAACAAAATATTGTTTGTGGCCTAGAAACACTCGGTACCTTCAGAAGATTACAGAAATGGTTTAGGATAATATGTCATAGTGTTAAAAAATAAAATATATTAGAAAACTAGCTAAGCTGAACAAAGAAATAGTATTATAAGCGTCAAGATTACCCAACACTTTCAATATCTGCAGGCACAAAATCTGCAATACCAGTGTAGCAGGTGTAGCCTGCATAAGATGCCTCTGAGTGTCCAAATAAGATCTTACGTACCTAATCGTCATTCAATACTTAAGCAGCTAATTGTCATGTTACAATATTCAAGGTAATTATTTCCAATATAAAATTATGAAAGGATACCTTCGACCATATACCATCAGCTCCCACAAGAAGATCACCTTCAAATTTTTGTCCATTCCCAAGTGTTACCGTTACCTGAGTTTATTGCAAGAAAAAGAGCTGTCAAACCTACCACCAAAATGGAGAACAACATCAATATGACCCAGGTCTCCAATATAAAAAGGGCAATCACAAATTATAAGAGCTTGCTTTTTCCTTGTAGTTCCCAAGAACATCAACAATGAAGCAAAGCAACAAATATCACCTAATATCAACTTACTTTAGTCCCATCATCTGCAAAATCAACAACATTACTGTCGTTCATAATAACATCATCACCAACTGCACGGGCCAATATCTGCTGGAGTTTCATACGGCTAATAACTCTTGTCACTGGTAGTCCTCTGTCTGCGGCAGGAGTAAATGTATCGAACTTTATGTACCTGAAATTTAAGTAAAAGTCACTTTTTGAATCAAGGAGAAAAGTTGATTAATGTACTAAATATCAGATCGGTTCTTACAACTAGTTATCAAACACAATAAAGAAACTAAGAAAGTAAAACAAAACCAATAACTGATTTATGATTGACTTATTAATATGATTATTTTAATGAGTTCTTTTAGATATTAGACTGTAAATCTTCAATGATTCCATATTAGTCCTCAAATATTTGAAATTGCTCATACATTCCTCAAATTCTAAGGGATCTTGAAAACTGTTCACTTGATGACCAACATACCCCTATCAAGAGTTTGGTCATTGCGGGACCAATTAGCAAGACCCCTTAGGATTTGGGGGATGTATGAGCAATTTCAAATATCTGAGGGTCTAATATGGAATTATTGAAGATTTGAGGGACTAAAATCTAGAAAACCCCGTTTTAATTTTTTTTTCCAAAGAAAACTGTAGTTATTTCTCCATTAATGTTTGAAGATCTTGAAGCTGTCCTTTTCATGATTGACATATGATATAGGTTCGTTTTTGTGATTTGCTTGTGACATTGTTTTTCTACAAACGACATATCTAGATCAAGATAAGCTCTACAAACAAAGGAAAGCAAACAAACAACTCAGAAATCAAGGTGTATTTAGTACCTAAAAACCGGCAATTAAGGTTCTATAATAATACACTATGTTACTTGGTACTTCTACTAGGAAGCCGTATGCGTACCTATATGCAAACTTTTTGGACACCACTTAAATATTTCCATACGTTTATTCAGACATATACTCAATTATATAATACATGTTTTAATTTAAAACACTCCTCATACACTTCTTGAATGTATATTCTACCTCTTCTTGGATGTATATTCTACCTGTCACATCTATTTCTTGTGTATTGATCTTATGTAAATGAAAAAACAACATATGTATGTGTGTGTCCTCGTACCCTACCTTTTACAAATTTGCCGTGTTCCATACTCATACCATGCAACTTAATTATTTCACATATTTCACATAGTTACCTTGGCTGGGAATTTTGCACAAATCCATTAAGGGTGATGTAGGATTACAAACTGACAACAGAACTTGATAGGCGGGGTTTTCTCAATTACGTTTTTTGTGCTCAAGAGATGATTGGTTTTTCCATAAGAATTTGCAATTGTGGTTTAGATGATGAAAATTTATTTCCTTAATGGGTTTTTTTCTTGGGCAGAATCTTGACTATCTAAAAATGTCACGCGGCCCACTTGCATATTTGTATTGCCTCTTGCGAGCCTGTTGGTGTGTAAGTCGTTGAACCCACTGTATAGTGCGTTGTTTGGCTCAAACCACTGTCAAAATTAACTAGCCAATGCTATACTTAAATTCCACGATTTCACTTATGTGGGACTAAACTTTTAGGGATCTCACAATCATCCCACCTTACAAAGGCGACGTCATCGTCGTGATATGACAAGCAGCACATCCCAATATCAGCGCAAGGTGATGCAGACTCTAGAAGTGGCTCCTATGAGCTTTAGATGTGGCTCCCACTACACTCACGCGGTGTAACACTTAGCCCCACATAGCACCTAGCTCCACGCTTCTGATTGGCAAATTGCTCTAATACCATTTGTCACGCCCTGAGCCTATGAGCTCGTTGGTGAGGTGTAAGTCATGAGACCCATAGAGTGTAGCGCGTTGTTTAGCTCAAACCACTACACAAATCAACTAGCCGATGCTACACTTGAATTCCATGATTTCACTTATAAACCACTCAGCTGTCTAGTCACCCACCAATGTGGGACTATACTTTTGGAGATCTCGCATCAAATCTCATGGGACCTCATCTAAGTTAACAATAAGCCTTATTTCTCAAGGCTATCCACAGAGGTGAAATCCTGACTATACATAAAATTAGAAAACAATGAAACCCAACTTCCCTATCATCATCCTAGTTTAATTTTGTATGAAGAGAGCGCTAAATAGTTAATCTTGTTCAATTTAGGTTAGTTAATTAGTTTAATTTTGTTAATTAGTTAATCTTAATCAATTTTATTCATTGTTTCTAATTTTAGTTAATTTTAGTTTAATCTTGTTCAATTTTAGTTCAATTTAATTCATTGTTCAATTTAGTTAATTTTAGTTAATCTATTTAATTAATAATTAAGATTAAAATCTTGTTCAATTTTAGATATAGTCTTATAGAAGAGAAGACTAAATAGACGTTAATACTTAATAAATCAAGTTATGTGATTTATTTGAATCTTTTGCTTGTCATGATTTGATGATTTAACCTATGAATGGTTTGTTTGTTGAATTGTTGTGATGTAGAATATCAAATATTCCTTCAAAGGAATCTATGGGTTCCATCTCTATTCCCGTAAAAGCCCCTGTGAAAGATAAAAGAAACTTGGGAGATATGGGTTGGGAGGTTGGGTTTCTTCCGAATCTAACTAATTTTTGCTTGATGCAATGTAAATTATGCTCGCACAAGATGAAAGGGAGAGGTCTTTAGATTAAAGCAACATCTTGCGGGCAGAGGAAACAAGTGCACAAAGTGTTCTAAGATTTCAGTTATTGATGGGAAGAAGGTGCAAGAAGCTATGGATGCTAATTCCACAAGGAAGAAACTAAAAGAGATGCATATCATGGAGTTGCAAGATGAAGCACAACTTGACAGGCCAAATCCGATGGCTATTGAAGAAGAATAGGAAATTATCTCTCTTACTCATACAATGGGCGGATCTTCAAAGAGGTCCAGATAGTTGACCGCCTAGCATAGGAAATTATCTCTCTTACTCATGCCCTCTCTATTGACTCCTTTATGCGGATATGCAGAGCTATTAAGGATTATGGACGCACCTACAGACCGCCTAGCATGTATATGTTGCAGGAGCCGTTGTTGAGAGGTGTTGCGAATAAGAGTAAGGACTCATTGAAGGAGCATAAGGAGGAGTAAGGGAAGAGTGGTTGCTCTATCATGACAGATGCTTGATCAGATAGGAAGATACGATCGACCTTGAACCTGTGCAATCGCAGCAGGCTAGGCACGACTTTTTACAAGTTTGATTGAGTGCTCCGGGGACTCGCACACGAGGTAATATATTTTTGAGCGGGTGGATGCAAGCATTGAAGAGATTGGGCCACAGAAGGTCATCCAGGTTATCACAAATAATGCTTTTACAAATATGGTGGCGAAGGAGAACTTGAAGGAGAAAAGGCCGAGTACCTTGTGGACCAGTTATGCAGCTCATACTATTGCCTTGATATTTGAGGGCGTTGGAAGTTACCACCCTTCAAATCAACCATTGGTAAAACAAAGGCCCTTGAAGTCTTCATCTACAGCCACCACAAGATCTTGATTATGATGTGTCACGTGTGCGATGAGGGATATTGTAAGACCTGGAGTCACTCGCTTAGCCACTGTATTCTTGACTCTGCGGAGTGTTTATGAGAAGAGGCTGAAACTAAGACTCATGTTCTCTAATGAAGAATGGAGGAAAAGCAAGCATTCAGGACCATAAGGGGTTGAAAAGTGGAGGCTATTGTCCTGTGTGAGAGTTGGTGCCAATCAGCAAAAAGTTGTGAGAGTTGGTGCCAATCAGCAAAAAGTTATTGAAGATCTATTCTCCCCTTTTTCGTGTTGAGGGTAGTCGATAGCGACTATAGATCCTCAATGGGATTTGTTATGGGGATGTTTGAAGACACAAAGGGGGAGATTAAGCTTGTTTTGAAGAAGCAATAGAGCCTATGCAAGTTGGTGACTGCTATTATACATTCCAAGTCTAAGGATCGATTATATACACCCTTGCATATTGCAGCTTATGCCCTTAATCCTTACTACTTTCGAGATGATATTGCTAAGAACTCTAGGGAGGGTTAGGAGGTGTTGCTAGATGTGGTGGAACTACTCTTCACGATGAGTAACACCAAGCTGAGGTTACTAAGGAGTTCATGGAGAAGTACAAAGAGGGCAAGGGTTCATTTGGTAGAAGTTTAGCGGTGAAAGCTAGGCAGAAAATGCACTTCAACCCAGATAAATTTAGTTTATAAATTGAATATATCAATCATAAGTTATTTTTTGTACTGGTGAGTTGAACTGGGACAATGTATTTGCAGTTAGTTGGTAGTATATGTATGGCGGTGATTGTTCCTTTCTGCAAATTGCAAAACTTGGTGATGAAGGTTCTTAATCTCACTAGCAGTTCTTCTGGAGGCGAGAGGTAGTGAAGCACATTTGAGTGGGTAAATTACATAAATTTTTTAAATTAATAAGATGAAGTTATCCCTTTATGGCTTTACAAATTTGTTCTTTTATACTTCAAAGATTCACACGAAGAAGAAAAACTGATTGGAGTCGAAGAGGTTGGAGGATCTTGTGTTTGTGAAGTTCAATGCCAAGCTCAAGCAAAAGAAGAGGAGAGAAAACAGAAATGTGCTAACAACGTAGGATCGCACTAGGGCACGTGCATGGATCCTACATGGAGTCCCCTCCGATGACAAGCAAGAGACTTATCCTACATGGAGTCTGCCTAGCGCCTTATGTAACATTGCCAGTAAGTAGAAAATATTTTACGACACCACAAGGGGTGAATGGCGTGTGCGCACAAGCATGCGCGTGTGAAGAAGCAACTGTTTTAAGCTTATCATCCTCCAAACAAACATAAGGAGCTTATGCCAAGGGAAGGTCTGTTTTCAATCTCTCTCCTGCCACACAATCTTTCCGCACCTGCAGATTATAGACTACAACTGCGAGGGAACAAATATCAATTTAGCAAAACTATCACTGCATGGGAACAAATATCAGGAACTATAATTGGAAGGAAGAAATATCAGAAACCAGTCATCTTACCTACCATATCACAAATAATTGACAGATAACATAAACCGCAGGTCCTCATACCCCCACGGCCTCCCCCAAACAGAACTTTCAACATGTTTGTTATGCTCCATGACCAAATTACTGCCCTAACCCCCTAATAGATAGTGTACCAACTTACACCTAGTTTCCTTCGTTGAAAATAGTACATACAAAAACTGAAGTACCTTTCCTTAACTATATTGTGCAAATAATAAGCACGCGAACAACAACAAGATTGTATAATCTAAACACAAATATCAGAAAACCCATACCCTAAGACGTCGAACATGGCCAGATTTGCCATTGTTAACTCCGGCAAATGAGACCACACTTACTGCAGGTGTTGTCTAAGCAAAACGCACAAACATTAACAATATGGTATATTCCAAGCACAAGTGAGAATCATTACCAAGATCCTGATATTCCATCGACCAAACCATTAATCCGATCCCCGGTGATACATCCAGAACTCATAACCTCCTCGGCAACCTCCAAATCGATCGCCTCAAGCGCCGCCAGAGCATTGCTCTGTATCTGAATAGGCCCCCTATACTGCCCTTCACCTCTAACAGCACTCATATCCTTCTCAAACACCAGCACATCAAACCCTTTCCTCTTCGCCGCCAGCGCAAACACCAGCCCCCCAATCCCACCGCCGGCGACGAGGATCCGGAGCTTCGGTGGGGCCTGTTTCGGAGGACCGGGTGGAGCTTCCACAGACCCAGCTGAGGACGAAGCTTTAGGGGCCCAACTTCTCCCAATTCTCCTTCGATTTCTTCTACTGCCGTACAAACTCTTCAGCATATCTTCAGAAAGGGGAAGGGTAGGGTGAAAACTGAAGTGGGCTTTGTTGAACTGGGCTGGGTGAGCGAGGAGAGGGTTGTAAGAGAGTGCCATGGCCATGGTGAGATTGGGAGGAGATCGAGAGAGGGCAATCGAGAAAATGGGTATTTCTTGTTTTTTTCTTATTTCTATTATATTTTGTATGTATAGTATATCTACTAATTTTTGAGACCTCAAGCTTGAATTTGGATTTGGAGGTAATGGAATTTGAGGTGGTGGAGAGATGGAGATCTGTGATAGTGAATGTCGTGGGGTATAGAGAAAAGAGAGCCAGTCCCTTGCAGATTTCATGACTGAAGTTTAATTAAATAAATACAAATATAAAATATATATTTAAATTTCTTTTTTGGGGTGATTGCGGGAGGCATGCACTGAAGCTGTGGGAGACACGCGAGTCGATGATGAGCGGCGGCAGGTGGGGCGGTGCCTTGATAACACACTGGAGGGAAATTGGAGGATATTTTGTTCTGAAAAACTTTCACAAAAACCCAATAAACCTTCTCCATATTTGACAACAACCCTCTAACTTTCCTATGAGAGACCCCGAACTTAAAACCCAACGTGCCAATCGTGTGACTGCAGATTACAAAAGTACCCTTACGTGGGGAAAAAAAATAAAAAATCGGTGAACGTCCGTATTTAATGTTTTTGTTTCACCTAGCTCTGGAAATAAATTGAACGTTCAGGTATTTTTAGGAATTAAAGATATCATGGACAAAACCGTTTTTGAGATTGGTTACAATTCCACAGCCACTAAATTTCGTAATTTCTTGTTTCTTTCCTTTAAGGGGTTGTTTGGTTCGCTATTATAAGGGGTGGAAAACTCAGAAAACCCCTCCACATCAGATTTTTAGCCCTCCACGTCAGTTTTTTTGTTTCCGTCCATTTTTTTGTGCCGCTTTGGTTCGCTCGGATGGAAGAGGGAAAACTCTGCTGAAATCGCCGCCAATTAAGATTTTTTTTCCTCTCCGATTTTCTTCCCCAACCAAGTGAAATTGATGAAAACTCTGCCACGTCAGATTTTTTTCCTTCTCTGCTTTGTTTACAAAAGTTTTTCTTTTTTTCTATGCGAACCAAACACAAGAAAAATAAATACATTGGTTTCCCACCATTTTTTATGTGCGAACCAAAGCAAAACAATCTATTTCTTGGAAAAGTTTGGAAAACTCAAAACTTATGTTTCTTTACATGGAATTGCATTTCTCTATATCAAGGAAACGAACCAAACAGCCCCTAATAATAATAATAAATTCTGTATACATAAATTTCGGTTAAATTTTTATCTCTTCTTTAAAAAATTTATATAGATAGATAAAATTTCCAAACCTTACCTGTATTGTTTTCTAATTTAAAACTTAACCCTAATATGAAACAAACAAGAAATACGATAAAATATCACGCGACATTTTGGGATAAACTTCCATAATCTTAGATCAAATATAATTTTGAGTTACTTCATTTAATGTTTTGTATAGATAAATTCATATAGGTTTCTTTTTAGTAAAGGGATACGATCATACAAATTCTTTATAAATTTATGTTGTTCAATGGATTATTTTTCATGGGAGGCGGACAATCTAACAAGAGATTTGTGTTGGAAAGATGACGGATAAGAAAGAAATATAAAGTAAATAAAAGATATGGGAAGAAAAAAATAATCCTACAATTTTCTAGCCCATTTTCTGTTTTTTATCCATTTAATAATTCAAAAAAAAAATCCTATTATCGGAGCATCAAAGCAATCTTCTTTCTTTGAATGGAAAATTTGAAAGATTTGAGTTTTATTTTTTATAATTATTGTTTTTAAGCTGGAACACTGCTACTCATTAGAATATTGGGAGGTATATTTTTTAGAGGTATTTAAGTAATTTGATGTTGAATAGCAATATTGTCAAGGGGTATGTTTGAAAAAGTTAAAAGTGTGAGGAGTGATTTGAGACACTTCAGAGTTTTAGGAGTTCAGTGAAAAACGTTTTGTGGATTTAGTGAAATAAACAAAAACCAGAGGGATTTCACTGACAATGATTTAAAGTTTTCGGGAGTTATTTTAAATTTACCCTTGCCTTTTGGACTCTTCTTAATATTTGGTGTCAACATTGGTTATATTTGGATTGGGCACTGAAATTAAATATCTAATATAAAGAGTTTAAACCATAGTTTTGGACCTAATTCAAAAGAGTATTTTTGGAAACAATCTAAAACCTTTTTCAATAAACTAGAAACCTAATGTCATTGACAAAATTGATCAAATTTTTAGACCACGTCTAACTGAAAGTTTGACCAAGTAGTTTCCAACTCAAGCCAATTGAGATGTTTATTTTGAACCGTAGTTGTTGAAAGAAGAGGGAGAATTATACCTCAGATCGATGCTCCAATATGCAGCTAGCGATGACCTACTCAGATTTCCATAAGGAAGGGAACTAGAACAAATGAGACACCCTATCTCTATTAACAATACATGCAGCAGCCTCTGGTAAGCTCCTTCAGAGCCAGTTGCCAATTTGAGTATCCAAGCTAGTGTGTAAGTTATGAAGTCCCCATCCCTATTTATAGCAGGAGCTTCAAGCAACGGATAGGATCATTCAATAAAAACATAAGCTCATATACCCCAGATCAGACTGTAAATACATTTTTAGTCTAAGTGTCTTCTAATCCCTCTTTGGAGAAGCATACTCGACTACTGCAGAACTATTTGGTAGAATCCATATTTTTTTCAAAAACGAAGTTCCGGATACAAGCTTGTTACCTAAGCAAATGCGTTAGTGGTATTCCTCTCGCACTATTGTTGATTCAATTTGAGAATAGTTGCTTTCGCAATCACCTTTCTTTAGGCCGAACCTTTCATGGCTATAGGTATGGAGTCAAAATAGCAACACTGCTCCTAAACCTTCACAATACAACCGAATATCACTAAGGGTATATATGGAATACGAAATATGCTTCATATGATTTTGGCTTCATATGATAGTGAAGAAGGGATCCATTCCTACCCCCAAAATTATATAAGTCACATGTACACTTGGTAGGATTGCAGTTGTAATAGAGTAACGCTCTATCAGGGAGCATATGTTCATCTCTACATCGTGCAATTCTTGACTTAATCAGTGAGCTCATCGTGCTTAGGCCTGTCTGCTTCCCACTCGGCAAGTGTACAATCACACCTAAGTGAAGCACAAACACATCAGACTTTGAACAGGTTGCAACGAACTTGGATCATTTGTCAAGCCAATCATTCTCAAGAAGAGTCTTATCTCGATTCTCAATCAAGGCAATACGGCTCATCCATGAATGTTGCTTGCTATCAGTGCAACTCATGATGTTATCTTAGCCATCTTATCTTTGCTTGCTCAGCCATAGTGCCAAAGGCGATTGGCTCGTGTGAGTAGCCCATCTTTTGTGTTTGAACATTTTTAATAATTTTGGTCATTAAAACTAATATTCCATAATATTTCATAGTATTCACAAATAAGTGTGGAGAAAAATAATTGTCACAAAATCCAAACCATAAAATCATCTGGAATACAAAAAAAAAAGGATCGAGTGTATGTAATTAAATTCATGCTACTTCACCATACGTGTAGACCTAAAATGCTAACATGAGTCTTGAATAATTCAACAGAGTGAGGTTTTGTTAGCTAATTAGTGATCATGCACTCGGTAGGTATGTACTCCAAGAACAATTCCTCCGAACTGTTCCTTATAGAATTGAACTTTATATCTAGGCGTTTTGTCTTTGTGTGGTATTTGGCATTCTTGGCATGATCTATCACTACTATGCTATTATAGTACAGTGTGGATTTGATGCATGCGACATAATTTTCAAGATCCATTAAGAACCATCTTAACTAGATCGCCTCTTGTGTTGCCACTGAATTAGTAACATATTCAGCCTCCATCACAGAATGGGCAATGATAGTTTGTTTATCGCATCACCCTCTTCACTTTTGCTAAAGCGCAAGTCTAGGATTAGACTAGAACTAACTGAGCAACCCAACAGTAAAGGAGATATTATACGCAATATTACATACATGAGGCAACCAATAGTGTTCGAATATATGGCAATTCTCATTTGTTTCTATTCTTTATCTGATTTTAGACGAGATTCAAGGTTTTAAGGCTTAACTGATGATTTTTTTTGAACAAGAGTGTCAATGGATTTTAAGTTGTGCATCAGGAATCGCTCAAAGACATTCCTTATGTACGCCTCTCGCAAGAGATCAATGATCTACTTAGAATGATTTGTGTGGATCTTTACTCCAAGACTTAACTTGCATTACCCATGTCTTTTATAGTGAAAGTTGAAGGCATCTAACCTTAGCGGTGCATATCATCTCCTTATCATTAGAAGCCATTAGTATGCCATCAACATACAAGGTCAAAATTATAAAGTCGTTCAAGGATCTTTTTATGCACACCCAGTGATCGTCTTTGACCATAATGAACCTAAGCTGCAGAATGCCTCGATGAAATCTCAAACACCACTCCCTAGATGATTGTTTTAGCTTATATATAGACTTTTTGAGCTTGCAGACTTTGCGCTTAAGACCTTTAGACACAAACCCTTTGGTTTGATCTGTAAACATCTCCTCGTTTATTAATCCAAGGAGAAATAGAGTTTTTACATCAATCTGGATAAGTACCAAATCCATGCGAGCGACCAACGTTCGAATCATATGAATCTAGGCAAATCTCACCACAGTGTAGAAAGTTTACTCATAGTCTATCCCCTCTCCCTAAGTATATCCTTTGAATCGTACTTTAAACCTATCAATGGAGCCATCTAACTTTTGATTAACTTTCAGAATTAATGAAAGGCGCACCAAGTCCCAGACTTTGTTTGTCCTCATAGACTTTGTATCATCTTTTTATGGTATCCATCCAATTTTCTCACTGAGGCCAAAGAGAGCCTCATGTAAAAACTTTGGATCCGCTATGTCATGTGGTGCCACTATACATGCTTCCCCCTCAATCTCAAAATGATAATGAGGGATAGGTTAGCAATTCTTCGTTTGAGTTCTTAAAATTTTTGTGATGGTGGTATAGAACCAATTACTGGAATGTTGCTCCCTCTACCCCAAAAATCATAGAACCTTGGTCCTCAGGATCAACTGAGCCACTTGGTGCACTCTTCTCCATGATAAGAACATAAAAACATGTAAAGTTGTAAGAGAACAACTATCAAGTTATAGTATAGAAATAAGATGTCAAACCACAAGGAATGTGTCTGTTTGAAAATTCTAATTTTGGTCCTAAAAATGTATGGATAAAGAGGAGTGAAATAGTGTGTATAGCAAGGGAATTGTCACAAAATAAAATAAAAAAATAAAAAATAGAGACGAGAAAGAGATAAGGAGGAA